CTAGGCCAGGGGTGTGGGGTGGGGGCTGTGCAGGGCTCAGCCTTCCCGAGGGGCATGCTGCTTTAGCTGAGATGAGGGAAGGATGGAGAGCGGAGCGGCCATTGCCAGGAAACAGAAGGTGACAACGCAGCATGGGGGCGGTGGAATGGCAGGAAAATTCAAGCCCCCTACTAGGTGCTGACCCAGGGCCCTACAGGGTGGAGAGGCATAGATCTCTGGGTGTGGAGTTGGAGCGGGGAGGTTGCTCTTGTTGTGTTCTGCCTCCACTGAGCTCGGCGCTAATAGGCTACAGCTGCTGGTGGAGTGGGGGCCTAATTCAAACCAGCAGGTTGCCCGGTTCCCTCCCAAAGCACAAACGTCATGGCCTTGGGATTCGAGGCCTCTCTAGCAGCATCCAGGATCCTCTCCCACCCTGCTGGTTCAAGGGCCCCAGGCCTCTCATTTGTGACTGAGCCTGACCCTCCACAGGAAACCCTTGGGACTCCTCCCCTCCTCCTGGAGGCAAGCCCAGAGACCAGCATCCCTTAACTACTTTGATGTGTGCTCGCTTCTAAGCTTTAATCCTTAGCAGTTGTAGGAGGGAGGAGATCTTAGTATCTCAGTTCTTCAGATGAGGTGCATAAAGGCCAAGCAATTTCTCTAAAGTTAATTTTAGGAAGTGGAAGAGCAGAACTTGAACCCAGGTAGTCTGGCTCTGGCCCCAAACCCTTAAGGACTGTGCCACAGAACAGTTGCTCATAGAGGTCCTTTATTTCTTCAAAATAAAATCAAGTTGGGCCAGCGGCATGAAGGCCAGTGGGATCCTTTCTCAGCCTTCCTCTGTGAATCTGGCTTGGTGGTAGATTTTAGTTGCAGGAGGCCCTGGGTGACCTGAGGCTGAAGTGCCAGCCCAACCACCTACCCCCGTGGGCTGCCCAGCCAACCACCTACCCCCGTGGGCTGCCCAGGAGGCTGACTCGTCCCCAGCCTGGTCTGGGAAGGGGTGAGCACCCTTGGTTCTCATGTCTGGTTGTGCTGGTCATATGCACCCTCTTTCTGGCTTAGGAGTTGAGAGATGAGCAGTGTAAGGACCGTTTGTTAACCTCATGTTACAGATAAGCAGCCAGAGGCCCAGGGTCAGGCCTCCAGATGTCCTCAGGACTCTAGGCTGGTTGAAGAGATGCACCCCTCCTGGGTCCTGCTGGCTGTGAAACTAGCTCAGTCTGGGGAGCTGGAGCTTGATGGGCTATAGCTGGCGAATGGTGGGTGTGAGGCCTCCAAGAGGCAGAAATGCTTGGCCCCGAGCTTGGCACAGCCCCCACCCAGTCTATCTTTCTGCAAGGGAGCACTGTCTCTACTTCTACAGAAACCTTTAAACAGACCGTGAAGCCACCTGCCCCTTCATGCCTCACCCTCTTCAGGCACGGACTGGAGCTGCTCAGTCTGTTGAGGCAAGCAGGCAGTGCCTTTCAGGGCACCCAGCTCCTCTCCCCGACACCTGTGCATGTTCAAGAGGCTGCCACCTTTACAGCATCCGAGACCTTCTCCCTGCCAAGCAGGAATCCTCCAGGCACGCTTCCCAGCTCCTTCTATCACGAGTTCCTAAGGGGACTAAGGCTCTCAGCTCTCACTAAGGGCAACAGCAGAGTTGATGCTCTTCTCAAAACCAGCCACTTGAGCCCAGGCTCTTCCAACTTGTGAGGCCTGGCGTCCAGGTCTCTCACCTGGTCACCCAGACTAACGTGCAGAGCTTCTCACTAGTCTCACTCTACACTGGGTGGAGTCTTCTTTCCCTTCCAGTGATGTCCGGCCAGCACTCATAGTCGCCTGTGAGGGGGGCGTCTTCCTTGAATTCTCTCACCTCCCTATTCGATGCCCAGCTAATTCAGAGCAGGGAAGACCAAAGCCCTTGATACATTTCCCCCCAGTATGGCACAGCTGATGAAGCTCATCAGGAGCGGAGTGAAGACCCTAGAGCTCACGAAAACACAAGACCCCAAAGGAAGCTCACTTGGGGACTTCCCCACAGCAAACCTGTGACTTTCCTTCACTTTTAAAGCAATGCATTGATTGGACGACTTTCAAGGAATTGCCTGACTTGGGAGTCTACTGGTTACTAAACTTTGCAAATTGAACCTCTCTGTAAGTCTTACTGCGAGGGCATGTTGTATTCACTAGGCAAATACAAATTCCTCTGAGTTTTCATGAGAAAACAGTTAATTGTATTTGCCTTGCAAATTCTCCTGTGGAAGCTAAAAATATCGCCATGAATGTTTCCTCCAGGAGTGAGTGCCACGTGCCCATCTGGTGAACCAATGTTAGGAAGGAGGTGTAGTGGCTGTAGGTGGGTTAGCAGGTAAATGTGGGGTCCCTAGGCAACTCATAGATGGAACGGGACACACTCCTTCCTCTGTGAGGACACCAGTATGCAGGCCGCAGCTGGATGACACAGCAGAGCCTGGAGGAAATCTGGACTGTGCAGATTTCCATCAGTGATTCTCTGAGTAGGTGAACGTCTCTGCCTAAAGTTCTCTAGCTCCTGCTCGGGCCACTAATACCAGCTAGATGAGAGACTCAGTGTCTCCTTTTCCATTTGAGAAAGGCTGTTTGAATGATGGGTAAGTAAAGAAAGATGAAACATACACAGACTCAGACTTAGACTAAGTATATATTTTAATTTCTACGAGGTCCCCCTTTCAAGTGTTAGGGGAATTTAAATGAAGTGTATACAAATTAGACATTGCCGATATGTACAAAAGTATTTTCTAGTTTTTAAACAGTACCAGCTATGTCATGTTTCATTGCAGTAAACAGGATGTTACAAAACCAGTCCAATGATGCATTTTCTATTAAGAAGCACAATACACAACATAATTCAGTTTTATTAAAAAATAATTTAAAATACAGAACAATCCCCTCAGGAAGAAAAGCTATCTCTGTAGTTCATTCAGTAAACACACAAGTTGAATGCTGCAGCCCAGGGCTGTTCTTTTCCATGGAGAAAATGAGGTTTCTAGGGCCCACACCTTTTCAGCATAAAATTTCACCTGCAGCTGCAATGGGCAAAGTTCGTGCCTGTGGTGGCAGAATTTTAAAACGCCCGCCCCCCACCTCCCTCATTCCATGCCTGGCCCAGGAACCTGGGCACATGGTAGCGCTCCTTTGACGATGTTATGTTCTGTGACGCGGCTGACCTTAAAACAGGGGGACTATCTCAGCGGGCTTGATCTAATCACATGAACCTTAAAACAGAGGAGGAAGGCAGAGATCTGAATGAAGCATGGGAGGAGGACTTGCTGGGTGACTGCTGGTTTGGAGATGGAGGGGAGCGCCCAAGAAGGCACGCCGCCGGCCACCCTGAGGAGCCGAAGGCCCCAGCGGGAACCGTGTGCTGCCCGCCATCTGCGTGGGCTCGGAGCAGGCTCTTCCCTAGAGCCTCCATGAAGGAATGCTGCCCTGCTGACCCTCGATTTCAGCCTTGTGAGACCCTGAGCGGAGAACCCAGCCATCCTGTGCTGGACTCACGAGCTACAGAACTGTGAGCTAAGAAACGGGTGTTGTCTTAAGCTGCTAAATTTCGGGTAATTATTTACAAAGCAATAGAAAAACTAATACACTGCCCAAGGGTAACTTTTCTTAACATCATTAGATTTGGCAGTTTTGGTTTGGGTTCTGAATGCAGTTTTTCCACTGAGTGATAGTAAAGCAATAGTGTCCATTGCAGGTAACTTCTGAAAACCTTTCATATCGATCACATACCGTTTTGTATTCACTAGCAAGCACATCTGTTTGACTTAATTCCTGTTTTTAATGTACTCTCGGCTCTCAACTTGGCAACAACTGACCCCTTAAACCCTCTTAATGAACCTTTTATGGGTAACAGTTTAAATACATCCAAGGTCATTCCTCCATCCATCGAGGGTTGTCAGATCCCTCCAAGAGGGCTCTTCCCCACTTCCAAGAACACCAGGCAAGGCCTGGGGGAGGATGGCACAGAGCTCGACGTCAAACAGCTAATATGAATTTCTTCTGCATCTCTGGATTAAACTGGCACTAAGGTGATTAAGTACACTTGGGGAAAAAACTCCAACTAGAGTAAAAAAAAAAAAAATCACACCAGTTTTTACAGGTCATATCATTTTTGGAGGAACCACCCAGAACTGTGAAAGACGTGACATTTACGCAGTGCCATACCCCTCTCTCCCTGTCTGCTGTCCTGGGCGTACTCATGTCCTGCAGGGCTTCACGGAGCCCGTGTGGATCACAGCAGAAACAGGAAAAACGTGCTGGTGCCTAGAACTGTTCAACTACTGGGTGGTCTCCCTCTCATGTGAAAGATTCAGAAGCCCTGCCAAATGGCCAGGACGGTGACAGTTAGGTTTTGGTGTTACTTTTGAAGTCCGCTCTTCGATCTACCCTCCCAGAGGCACACGTCAGTTAAGTGCAGTAGACCCAAGTGGCCACACAACCCCCTATGCTGATCCTGCCTGGTCCGGAGACCTCCCAGCCCACACCTGTGGCTCGAGAGAACCTCTCCAATATTCAAAATGAATACAGCGCAGAAGGATCCATGTTTGGTGCCAGTGAATAATAAAAAATATGTTCACTTCTCTCTTACAAGATTGTAATGTATAGTATAGAAAAACAATGCTTAAAGAGGCACCAAAAGGTACCAAGCACCAAAGCATAAACTGGAACAGAATTGTTTTCTACAGTCTAAACTTAGAAAGCACATAAAATATTAGGTCCTTAGAGACAGTGCAGGTGTTTACAGTTAAGGCTGATTCATATCTCACCTGCCAGCCTTAAGTAATACAGTGGGGCTGTATGATGACCACTCTCCCAATCCTCTGAGACAACAAAGGAGGAAGGAATTAAGAACCCTAGAGCCACTGCCTTACCCCCAGGCTACTGTCACTAACAATTCTGGGTGGTTTGTTTTTAAGAGCACATATGTCTAAGACTCTGTGTAATTGTATATAAATATTTGGCCACCTTTAACAGTTCTCTTTCACAGTTCTATGCTTGGCAGCATATATGCTAAAACCTGAAAACCGGGCAAAAAGAAATCTGTATTCTAAGGAATACACGAGATGGAGAGTAGTCTATCTAAAATAATATTGCAAATTATATTAAATCTCATGGTTTCTTGATTTAAGAAAATGAAATTCGCTTCCATAGTTGGCTACTGTAAAACGTGGCATAAAAATATTTTTAGGAGACATATCTGTATTTTAAATCCTGCGCACACGTAAACAAGTAACAATTAAGAAGTATCTATTTTTGAAATTCATCTCTAATATTGAAATAGAACAACAGACTGCCGTTAAGTTTCTTAAACTTTTAAGTTACCAGATATTTACAAATAAGATATAATTCATATCAAAAAAGGGGTACATTTTCAACTATATCTGCTGCTTTCACTGGGACTCCGGTGACGAGAGTGACTTCGGTCGCTTTCACTGTCAGAGCCGTAGGATCTACAACTCCTGTGTAACAGAACAAGACAATACACAGACATCTTTTAGCTGTCAACCCTTGAATTCCTCTAGCAGCTTCTTCTTTGATATGAGTGGCTTGAAAGCAATACTGATGTAGCATAGCACAGTGGGTGGACCTGTGGGGTACTGACTGTGGCACCACTGTGGGCTTTTCAGAGATGTTTTCATGATACTAGTAATATCAAGGTTAAGATAAAAATAATGAAACACCACATCTTGAGAAATTACTTGAAATCCACTCAAGCAAATGAATAGACTAATTTTCCATGTTACCCAAAATGAACATCAATATTTAATTAAGACAGGAAGTAAGGAAAAAAGGCATCAGTGTTTCACTGAAAGATATGGACATCAATGGTCTACGGCCATGCCGCCCGATGTCTGATCTCGGAAGCTAAGCAGGGTCAGGCCTGGTTAGTACTTGAATGGGAGACCACCTAGGAAGACCAGGTGCTGTAGGCATAAATAATAATAAATAAATAAATAAAGATATGGACATCAAAATGGCAGTCCAAGAGGGTTGAGGGTGGAGTGGACTGTGGACAGGACCACAGGGAGAGTGAGTCCAAGGACAGGGTTATGTCCACCATTCAGTTATTTTGAAAAATGTTTACTGAGAGCCAGTCACTTTACTAGATACTAGAAACACACACACACACACACACATCAAGCAAGTACAATTCCCTGGGCTCAAGGACAGTACAGAATTGTAGGCACGACAGATAAGGTGGGCAGGGGTGGAGGCAGCATCTCTCAGGGTTGGCAGTCAGTGAGGGCTTCCCAGGGGTAGTGGCGACCTGGAGGGTAGGTGGGAACTGGCCATTTCAAGAGGCAGGAGGGGAGACAGTGGTGTGGGTGTCCCTAGACAAAAGCCAAGGTTCCAGCATATTAAAGCAGGAAGACAGAGAAGTACAGGAAGGAGCTGGGAAGCAGAGACGCCTTGTGCGTGAGCTAAGGAGCTCCCTTGCCCGAGGGCAGTGCGGAGCCTGTGAAGAGTTTCAAACAAGGGGTGGTCCAGACCATACAGATACTCTACAAGGGTCACTGGCTGTAGCTTCTGTGGATGGAGAAGGAAGGGAACACCAGGAGCCACCAGGAAAGGGACATGACAAAAAGTCACCATAAAATCTTCTGCAGTACTAGCCAAAATGTGTTACGTAAAAACATATTATAAATATATAATATATAAAAAACACATTTTTACTAAATAATTGACTGGATATAAATCTCAATCCTGAAGCAAATAATTATGACATTTTATTAATTTAAAAAATTGATGAATTGGCTTTGCTATTTCTAGCAATGAGCCCTATCTAAAGAAGCGGATTGTGGTTTGGGTGGCCTTCTCTTTTTACTCCTTTCAAGAGAAATGTCTGTCCAACGACATGTGAATACTTAAAAATCCATTTTAGATCCAAACGTTAACAATAACCAATAAACGTTGCCCAGCAACTCTTAATACAAAGGGCACATTTAGTAGCTGCCTGTGCGTTGCTGAAATTCAAGAAGAGAAAGAAGTGTTCCTGTCCTGAGCAGGCTGCGCTTTCTCATCTTGTAGTGTCCCCTCACAAACCAAGTGCCCACAGGAGCTGGCAGTGCTCTGACGGTTAGAGACCCACCTGGACCGCCTGGTGTAACTTCTGCCTCGATGGTAACTGTCACTCCTCTGGCTTCGACTCCGACTCCGACTCCTGCTGTAGTAGCTGTCGTAAGTGTAGGACCTGCTTTAACAGCAACGACAAACGCTAAATTTTCCCATTCAAACACTCATATTCCCATTTCTTTTTAGGTGCTTAAGAGTGTTCTCTTTGAACATGGGCACTGTGTGACAGTATGAGGACACATTTGCATAACAAGTATTGGAAACATTTAAAAATTGCCCCAAACAGGACTTACCGTATTAAACAGAAAAATGTTAATTCTTTTCTGCATTGAAAAATATCACAAAATTAACACTGAGTTAGTTGGATTGAATCTGGTGGGTATTAGGCAATTATAGTCAATAAATACCTGCCATTACAATATGACATAAGTTGTCACTTTTGACACAAGAGTATAACAGGCCGACAGAAAAAAAAATGTCAAGAAGTCTTCACTTAAAAAGGATGTGATTACATGAGACAAATACATGTTTAAGTTTCTCAGTAAAACACAATGCTTCTTTCTAAAGGGACTGAAGGGTTTCATAAAACAAGGCCTTTCAATTCTGACCCGCCCCTTGCCCATACCTGGACCGACTGTGGACATCATACGAGCTGCTCCGGGATCTGCTCCTGCTGGACGTCCTAGTATTAATCACATGAGGGACCATCATCTCGTGGATCAGGACAGGCTACATCAAAAATCTAGACATTTATTTGCCCATCAAGGAGAAAACACAATGAAATCCAGCAGCTATATTTATTTCGTTTCTATATCAAAAGTATACTGGGTTTTTTAAAAGCATGTTGGATTTCATAAGAAAGATTATGTTTTATGCTACTTTTCTATGAAATGCACCTGAAGAAAGTCACTGGGGAGGTTCTATCTGAATGGGGAGGAAGAAAGGCCTGCCCAGGTAGGACACATAAATAAAACAAAGCCACAGCACTGGAAATACTTGAGAGGCAAAAGAGGGTACAAAGAAGTTGGGAGAACCAGAAACCCGGGGTCACTCCCCGCCCACTTCCTCCCCTGGTCCCCTTTTAACCACTGTCCTACCCCAATCCCTAACCAAAGTCGAGAGGTGACTGCAGATGTGAATGTCGGTTAAAGAAGATGGACTGGGGGTGGGGAGGAGGCGGAGGTCATGGTCAGGGCCTCTCCTGCTGGCCCGCTCTGCCCGTGCAGGCCCTGAAGAGCAGAGCACACAAAGGGCGGGGTTCGCAAGCTCACCGAGGACTTCTGTAACTCCGGTCGGAGCTGCTCCGGCTTCTTGTGCGGCCTCTGCTGTACCATCCTCTGCTCCGACTTCTAGAGTAGCTTCTTGATCTACAATTAAGTGTGGAAAACTATAATTATTTTCACTCACCACGCTGTTAAAATTAATTACTTGTAGGGCAGGAAGGGGAAAACACAGTAAGAGGACAGGTCTTCGGAAAGGGCTCTCATGAACTCCTCAGAGTGGGTGTGACAGTGACAGCTAAGGAGGGTTTAAACTGAACAGAAAGAAAGAAAAGCCAGAAAAGGCTGGTACCGGTATGTTGATAGGAGCCCTATATATAATGCCAAGAGGAAATAATCCAAATCTCCATTAATGGCAGCATAAGTTAAAAAAATTAATGCGAAGAAATATACTGAAATATTCTACACTAGGAAATGAATGAACTAGAGCTACATATATTAACAGAGATATGTCTTTGGAACATGAGGTTGAGTGAAAAAGGCAAATGTAGAACATCTATATAAATGAAAGGATTTTGTATGAAAACATGAAAAGCAATGATGCATAGGGATAGGATCATTGTGGTAAACTGTAAAGGAAAACAAAATTATAACAATAGTTCAGAATAACGTTCAAGTCTAGGAGACACGAGAGAAAGTAGGGTGATACTGGGTGGGGCTACGTCAGGTACGTCAAAGCTCTATTTTTGAAGCCAGATGACATTTTAAATTATTTTTATGCCTTAATCGTTTGTTTTATTTTTATATCTATTTAATATTTAATAAAAGAAACAAAAAACTTAAGTAATGCAATTCTGCCCCTCTGCATTCACTTGGCCCCCTGCCCTCCTTTGCCTACTGTATATCTGTCATTCAGGAGCAGCACAATAACCCTATGTGTAGGCTATTTACATAATATCTGCACAGGTTTTATTCAGTTGTGAACACATAATGTCCTGGTAGGATGCTAGTCATTTATTCAAACAAACAATTATAAAGCAGACCCTGTGAGGTGACTAAAAGATGAGTAGGAAAACAGTCTCCAGATCAGCAGTCTCTAGATTGGACAGGACGGACCAAGATATCCTGCAAGGCGGCCCCACACGTCAACGAGTTCACAGTCTAGTTGGGAAGTAAGGCCCAGGCCAGGAACCAAAACCGGGAGGCAGAGTTTAGCTATCTTGGTCTCCACCCTCAGCTGCATAGCGTAGAGCAAATGCCGTAGGCTTTCTATGCCTCACTGTCTTCATTTATAAAACGAAGTACCACCCATCCCAAAGATAGTGGTGGGAAGGTGCTACCAAATGAGAGCGGCAGCATCACCAACAGCTCAGAGCTGAGAGCGCAAATGGTAAGGTACCTGTTGAGCAGACAGGTGGCTGGCGGAGCTCAACAGGTCACTGCACCTAGGAATATGAACCTAGGGAGAAACGGCCAGGACTCACCAGCTCATTGGGCTGGGCCTGTTGGGAGTCTGGGCGGGAGGAGGAAGAGGAGCCCACAACACAAGCATGGAACGGTCCGAGAGGGATGAGGGGAGTTAGCAGAGGGCTTCCAGAAGGTGAGGACCGAAAATATGCCCTGGCACTGGCCATTCGGTGGTACCTGAAAACCTCAGTTCGTTCAGTGAGATGGGGGAGGGAAGGCACAGAAGACAGACTGCAAGCAACTGAGGAGTAAATGGGAGACAGTTATTACAGGTGGCAAGTGTTGGTTCCTATTTTTAAAGAAATCTAGGTAAGAGGAGAGAAAGACTGACAAATAACTAGAAAGGAAAAAAACGGTCAAAGACTATTATTGCATTTTAAGTACAAGTGATGAAAATCAAGCATGTCATAATAAGGGATTTGAGTAATTAAGAGACAATGAGGTAAAAACAAGAAATATTTACAACATAAAGAACACAAGTTACTTACTAACTTCCTGTCACCATTACCAAATTTTTTAGTTTTTAAAAAATTTTATCCAGTCTTGCTGATGACAAACGTTAGATGCAACTTGAACCAGAAAAAATAAATCCAAAGGTGATTTTTACTATCCCCACCTCCTGAACAGAGATCAACTAGATGCTTGTCTTGAGCAGGTAACTTTGCCTCTCTGGCCCTCACCTCCCACTTAAAATGGAGGGTTAGACTGATGATCTTCAAATCCTACACATTCCATAAATTCAGGACTCCTTCGTAAGGCATCACCGACAGGCCAAAGAGCAGCCTCACACCTTTAAAGATGGAGAACTTGCCTCCTATCACGGCAACTCATTTCTGTGGCCGGAGAGCTTTAATTGACAGCGACAGTTATTTACATGGAGCCCCAATTTCTTCCCTAAAATGGACTGCTCATGTCCTCAATTTGCTCTCTGAGTCACACAGCACAAGACTTCTCCTTACTCCCTTCCAGATATCTGGAAATAGTAATCTTGTCCCTAATTCTGATGTTCTTCCAAGCTAAACAATAACAGATTCTCTTTCGGAGAAAATAAAGAAAGGCATCACCAACAGCTCAGAGCTGAGAGCGCAAATGGTAAGGTACCTGTTGAGCAGACAGGTGGCTGGCGGAGCTCAACAGGTCACTGCACCTAGGAATATGAACCTAGGGAGAAATGGCCAGGACTCACCAGCTCACTGGGCTGGGCCTGTTGGGAGTCTGGGCGGGAGGAGGAAGAGGAGCCCACAACACAAGCATGGAACGGTCCGAGAGGGATGAGGGGAGTTAGCAGAGGGCTTCCAGAAGGTGAGGACCGAAAATATGCCCTGGCACTGGCCATTCGGTGGTACCTGAAAACCTCAGTTCGTTCAGTGAGATGGGGGAGGGAAGGCACAGAAGACAGACTGCAAGCAACTGAGGAGTAAATGGGAGACAGTTATTACAGGTGGCAAGTGTTGGTTCCTATTTTTAAAGAAATCTAGGTAAGAGGAGAGAAAGACTGACAAATAACTAGAAAGGAAAAAAACGGTCAAAGACTATTATTGCATTTTAAGTACAAGTGATGAAAATCAAGCATGTCATAATAAGGGATTTGAGTAATTAAGAGACAATGAGGTAAAAACAAGAAATATTTACAACATAAAGAACACAAGTTACTTACTAACTTCCTGTCACCATTACCAAATTTTTTAGTTTTTAAAAAATTTTATCCAGTCTTGCTGATGACAAACGTTAGATGCAACTTGAACCAGAAAAAATAAATCCAAAGGTGATTTTTACTATCCCCACCTCCTGAACAGAGATCAACTAGATGCTTGTCTTGAGCAGGTAACTTTGCCTCTCTGGCCCTCACCTCCCACTTAAAATGGAGGGTTAGACTGATGATCTTCAAATCCTACACATTCCATAAATTCAGGACTCCTTCGTAAGGCATCACCGACAGGCCAAAGAGCAGCCTCACACCTTTAAAGATGGAGAACTTGCCTCCTATCACGGCAACTCATTTCTGTGGCCGGAGAGCTTTAATTGACAGCGACAGTTATTTACATGGAGCCCCAATTTCTTCCCTAAAATGGACTGCTCATGTCCTCAATTTGCTCTCTGAGTCACACAGCACAAGACTTCTCCTTACTCCCTTTCCAGATATCTGGAAATAGTAATCTTGTCCCTAATTCTGATGTTCTTCCAAGCTAAACAATAACAGATTCTCTTTCGGAGAAGAAAAAGAAAGAGACCATTGCTCACCGATATGATGATGTGGAACTTCGCGATCGACTTCTTGAGTGACTGTAGGAGACAGACCTTGTTCTGTGTCTTGATTTGCTTTCAGATTTACTTCGAGATCTACTTGGACTCCTGGACTGGCTATCACCATCCCGACTAGGTGTCTGCTCATCACTTGAACTCTCCCGATTTCTTGGCCTCCGGTTTAAGCGTGCCGTCTTCCTTACTTCATCAAAGAGAGACCCGGGCCGAACTTTATTTTTGCTTTTAATTTCTATCCTCAAGCCTTGTGGTTTCATTTCAGGCACAGCAGTCAATGCCTTCACTTCTGCAGCACTGGACGTGGTAGCAGTCGGCGCTGCCAGGTTCCCCACGCCTTGCAGGGGCTTCCATTTATTATCCAGGAGGCTCACCTGGCTCTTCCCAGCCGCCTCCCTCTTCACAGCACTGTCCGCAGCACTGGCCGAGCCGGCAGAGCTGCTGTCCACTTTCCCAGCTTCGCCCACCACTGGGCTTTCAGACACGCTGCTTTCCTGTTTTACCACCTCTGCCTCAGAATGCTCTGTCTGCTTTACCACAAGGCCTATGTCCGAGGTGTCAAGCTTCGAATTTCCTAGAGGGGACGCTCCCTCCACCTTTGCTGGGGAACTCCTGTCAGGAGTGCAGATCTCCATGTTGTCATCTGCTTGAAACACGTCCTCCATTCCGCTTGGGACACATTCTTCAATACGCTGAATGTCTGGGGGAGAACTGGCTACGTTTTCCTCAGTATTTACAGCTGTGGGAGAAATGCTGCGTTTACTGTCGTCTTTAGCAGGCTGCTCCATATCTGATGAAATCATCTCTGTACTCTGTTTACCTGAAAGGCTGCCGTCTTCACAGGCCGTCCCAATTCGGGGGATGTTTTCTTTTATGGTTTCACTGTTTTCAGACACTCGTTTTTTCTCATGTGACTCCTGAGTCACTTGTTTTTCATTCATCTCCTCCTCCTCCTCGTCACCAAATTCTAGTGGCGGCTGCCAGTGAAAGGCTTGTTTTCGTTTCGGAGCCTTGTGCTTTTTGTCTTTTTTCCCTTTCAATTTCTCTTTCACTTTTTTGGCGTGTTCCCATTTAAAATTTTCCTTTGACCCATGCTTGTGCTTCCGCGGCTTCCCTCGAGGGTTTTCTGAGTTGCAGTAGGACCCCTCAGAATCAGAGGTTGATGACCGCTGTTTGCCTGCCTTCCAAGTGCCATCTCCATCAGGTGGTGAAGTATTTGCTGAGGACTTTGTTGTGGGTTTGGCTCTGATGTGCATTTCGCCAAACTCCGATTCTGAATCTGATGTGGCCTCACCTTCCTCCTTATCAGAAGACGGTCGGGAAATATTTTTCCTGTTTTTAGTTATGTCTCGTTCAGAATTTGACTCAGAGTCCCATTTACTCCCAGCATAATTCTTCCTTTTGGGCTTACTGCCCTTTCTGAAGTGATCAGAAGGATTCTCTTTCGAAGTTCTTTTTTTTGAACGAGGGCATTCCCGTTCGGGCTTGGATTTCTCCTCATCTCTGTTTTTCTCTTGTTTATTATTTGTTTCCACGTGGACTTGCTTCTCTTTTTCCTGAGCTGACTGTGTAACCTGAACACTTGACTGTTCACTGTCTGAAGAATAATCTAAAGATGATCTGCTTTCGCTATACTTTCTCTGACATGAAGACTTGTCTCTGCCTTTGACGTACTTATTGCGAAGTGTCTTTTCAGAACTGCTGCTGTGCCTTTTACTTGAAGTGTTATTTTTTTTCCCATTGGATCTAAATTTCCTCTTGGCTCGTCTTCCATCATCACTGCTAACAGAAGAGTATGAAGATGATCTACTACACTGTGAGCGATCACTGTATTTATTTCGTGAATGAGATCTAGATGAGGGAGACCGAGACCTTGAACGTGAACTCGCTAGACTTCGCGATCGTGATCTTGTGTACGATCTGGAATAAGATCTACTCCTGGAAGATCTGCTCCTCGACCTCGGTGAACTTTCTGAACTTCTACCGCTATATTTTGAATAAGCACTCCGATCACTTTCTGAATTTTTTTCTCTTTTATGATAGGATGATGAACTTCCAGTCTCTTTAGTATTTGCTAAACTATATGTACTTTGGATGGGGAGCAAATGAGTTGTTTTCGCTTTCATTTCCTGAATTCGCTCATAAGAGGGCTTCCAGGGCTTCTGTCCAGGCTTCCACCTCGAAGGAGGGGGACTGTCACTCAGTGGTATCACAGGAATATTTTCTGCCACCACTGGCTGTTGTACCACGACGTTTTCATTTTGTGGCACTGCTGCTCTCAAAGGTTCTGTTTTAACTGGCTTATTTTCACTTAACTGAGAGGCTGTCCTTCTTGGTGATTTCGATGCTGGCCTTTGGTGCCCTGACTTAGAACTAGATCTGGACTTTGATCTACTTCGAGAATGTGACGAGGATTTTGATGGAGTCCTTGATCTTGAGCTTCCTCTAGAATAAGACTGCGAGTGAGACTTTGATCTGTATGAGTCTCTGCTGGAATGGGTTGAAGAGCTCTGGTCATCTTTATCAGATTTGGACCAGTCCCTCTTTGATGAGGGATGAGATGATAAGGAGGAAGAACGAGACCTCCTTTCTCTATCACAAGAGGACTTCACTCGTCGGGTGGAAGATTTTGAGGATTCTATGTCAGATGGTACAATGATCCTTCTCTTCTTAGTTTGTTTGTGTCTTCTGCAATGTTTTTGCTTTTTAGCTTTCTTTTTATGCTTAACCTTTTTCTCTTTCCTGCGTTTTTTATGGTGACCGTCAGAGTGTCTTGCTGTACTAAGGTCTGAATAATAACCATTGTAAGACCATGATCTGGATCTCTGGGACAAGCTTCTTTCATCCCATCGGCTTGAACAGGGGTCACTTAACCTGTAGAAAAGGATACAATATGCGTGATTATTTGCAAGCATGTTTTCTTTGTTTTAAAATTAAAACATGTTCGTTGTCAATACAAATGCATTGACAAAAGCCTAGTAACAACAAAGTCCTGACTCCATCGTCACTTTAAGCACATGTAGAAAGGGTAAATCAAAGACTGGCCTGGTCTTGACCTTGTAATTTCAGAGACACAGAGAGAGCTGCTAACAGATTCGCTTACGAAAAGTTTTTCAAAGCTAAGCAAAGGATTTCAAACTTGATAGGAAAATGGTTTTGAAAACAAACCAACTCGTCACAAGAGCACTGCTGACATACCGAGTTCCTGGCTCATAACCCTCTGGCTCCAGAAACAATGTCAAACCAAGTTCCCAAACGACTCTGTTGATTCTCTGCAGACACAGGATAGCTGCCTGAACTATAAGAGAAATCTCTTTTGCTTAAGAAGCTAGCAAGATTATTGTTTTATCTCAGTCCCACGGAGGTAATCGAGACTTTCTCTTAAGGTTTAAACTACTAACTATGGAAACTGAAGAAAAAGTACCTAAAAGTAGATGTAGGCTTTATGATGAGTGGTACTGTCAGAACTCAAAATCGAGAGTTCTTAGTAGCACTATGTCTAAAACACCTCCGTACAGATGTACACTCTTCCCTCCTTCCAATCTCAAACATGCTACAGGACACCCACACACGGTAAAAGAGAATTTTACCATGAACGATTATAGAGGGTCCCATTGGTACATTTTCTCTAGCTATTTTGAGGCCAGCCCCTTTTCTAAGACAGATGTTCTACTGTGCTGTGTCACTGAGGGTAAGAGATCGGTCCACTTCTGTAGAAGCCACAGTCCTTAAAGTCAGACGTTAATGCACACACACGGGTACAGACTGTCCTAGCTACTAATTCATTTGTCAGTGACTCAGAGACCTGGCTATGAAAGTACCTGCTATATAATTTTTAGTCCTGATTATCTACAATATTGAACACGAAATCTTTAAGAAATCCAGCAGGTTTATATTCTTGTGAGGGAAAACAGAATTTTGACTGAGAAAAGCATCCCCAAGCCAATCGGCTTCCCTAGTTAACGGCACTACTTTTACCAAGGATTCCCAAGTACTCTTAGGTCACAGTCGAATTTTAAATTTACATCTTTAACGAAAAGTCCAGAAGTCAGTCTCTGTTCCCTTAACACAGGAGTGCGCACATGCTCAAAGCCCTTACTTGTCTCCTTTGCTCCATTTTTCTCCACTTGGTGGTCTGTACGCTCTTAATCTCTGCATCTCCTCCTTCCAGTGGGGAGGAGTTTCGCTGCTATCGTCATCATCTGATTCAGAGCAGGATCTTGACCTTGGAGGTGTGTGATAGCGCTTTGAAAACAAAGACAGGAATTACTATTTAAAAAATAGCTCTCAATTACCGTCTGCCATAGGACAGAATTAGGTATAAGACCCAATCTCAGACTCTATTCAAAGACAACAACGACTGAAGTACCAAAAGATGACATGAAGTTATGTCAAATGTAGAGTGACTAGAAGAAATGGGAAAGGCTGACATTTACCTGTTAACGACACATGAAAATTTCCTCTTCTAACTCCTAATGGTTACATTCATTAGCCTAGATTACTCAACAGACTAAGATTTCTCAGCATACGCACTGATTGTTTCACATGCTCATTTCATACTTAAACTCATTCAAATACTTGGTCTAATGGCAGTACTTTCCCAAAACTATGGCGAATACAACTAGTTCCTTGAACAGATCTTGGATTATACCTAAAATTAAAGCTAAGGTTTATCTTGTCTATAAGTAAAAACATTTTACTGTATAGATAAGCAATTCAAAAAAGAAAAGTCTTAACAAACATACAATTGTGCCCCTTCCTTTAATCTTCCGTCCAGACTTCGATACAGATGGTTTTTGCTCACTTACAATGGGTGCAACATCAGGAATCTTCCTGGAAAAGAAGATTGAAAATTGAAAATAAGCAAATAGTTTTCTCAATGTATAAATGCAGAATTTGTGTTCCTATAATACAAAAACATTTCGTTTAGATAAAACACTTTGGGAAAATGAGGCACTCCACAAAACCTAATTTTGTAAGTGAACCCTTTAAATGTCAAAACTGTAATAAAAAAGTAACCCATTTGGGTAGGGATACAAACTACCAGTAGCTATCTTTTTAAGCACAGTGCTATTTTTAAACAAAAAATTTTTTTAGATGTCTTGTCCCAACAGTGATGTTCTAAAGGAATCCTGAGTTATTCCTTACTCTGATGCTTAACTGTGTTTTTAGCAGTTTTTTATTTTACTTCTATATTTCTTTAATCTTTTGTCCCCACCTCTCTACAATAAACTGCCCCTCCTTCAATGCTCTGAATCTGCTGTCTCATCTTATGTAAGGCAAGTCTAAGAGTGTGAGTTTTGTGGTGGCTACAGTTCCCCATGCACAAGTTTTTTTATATCTCAGTTTGTTTTGTATGTTATTAGTACATAATGGCTAGCTTTTATTGAGTACTATGTGTCAGGCATTATGTTAATGAGCATTTCAAAAATACTTTTATTATTGGGTAAAATATACATAACATAAAACTGGCCATTTTAACCATTTTCGATTCAGTGACATTCATTAAATTCACAATGTTGTATAACCATCACTACTACATTTCTGAAACTTTTTCATCACCCCAAACCAAAACTCTACTCATTAAGCACTAACTCTCCAATATCCCCATTCCCTCGGCTTCTAATTTATGGCCAAGTAACACCCCACTATATGCATATACCACATTTTGGTTATCCAGTCATCTATTGGTGGACACTTGGGTCATTTCCACTTTTTTCCTATTGTAATATTGCAATGAAAACTAGTGTTATATCTTTTTGTCATTGTCGCTCATGATTTTGATGTCAAATATGAATCTGTTGCCAAATCCAAGCTCACAAAGATTTACCCCTATGCTTTCCTCTAAGAGTTTTATGGCTTAGCTCTTATATTTAGACTGTTGACCCATTTGGGTTAATTTTTGTGTATGATGGGAGGTTGCGTCCAACCTCATTCTTTTGCATACGGAAATCCAGTAGTCCCTGTACCATTTATTGAAGAGTCTATTCCTTCTCCACTGAATGGACTTGGCATTCTGTCTACCATCAATGGCCATAGATGTGTGGATTTATTTCTGGACTCTCAATTGTATTCCGTTGGTCTCTATATCTATCCTTATGCCAGTGTCACACTATTTTGATGACTACAGCTTTGTAGTAAGTTTTGAAATCAGAAGTACAAGTCCTCAAACTTTGTTGTCCTTTTTCAAGACTGTTTTGGCTATTCAGGACCCCTTGCGATTCCATATGAATTTGGGTGTTGACTTTTCCATTTCTACAAAAAGGTTGCTGGAATTTGACAGGGACTGCATTGAATCCATAGCTCACTTTGAGTAGTACTGACATCTTAACAATACTAAGTCTTCCAATACATGAACTCAGAATGTCTTTCCATTTATTTAGGGTCTTCTTTAATTTCTTTCAGCAATATTCTAGTTTTCATTGCATGTCTTTCACTTCCTTGATTAAATTTATTTCTAAGTATTTTATTCTTTTAGATATTATTTTAAATGAAACTGCTTTCTTAATTTCCTTTTCAGGTTGTTCACTGCTGGTTGTTAATAAGCGTTTTAAAGGCATTAGCTCATCTAATACTCGTAACAACACTACAGGGTAGGTACTATTGTCACCACCATTTTGAAGAATTTTAAGAGGTTAAAAATCTTGCCCAAGATCACAGAAAGAAATGAAACTTGACTCTTATAACAATGACATGGGGTTTTCTAAGGTTCCAGTAATCTGGATCCAGATAAATATAGTGTTACTAAAAAAATAATAATTTTTTTAAGTACATTATAATGTTTTCAGTCATTCATAGTCATGACATCACCTGATTCTCACAATGAGATGGCTAAGTAGTCTTGGCAGGAAACTGTTAGCTCCATTTTCCTCATGAAGAAAAAAAAGTACTGAACATCAAATGCCTTACCAACAGGTGTTCAGCAAGAAATAAATAAAGTTCATCTGGGAACCTTTTAGATACTGACCCGACACTGCCACTCTCCTGCTCCTCCCCATAACATCCTGATTTTATTTGCTATATGGCCCAGCAATTTTTAAAAGCTTGCTAAATTATTCTAAAGTGCAGCTGAGGTTGAGAATAAATGAACTACAGCAAGTGTGGAGCCCAGCTTCTGCTAAGCAAACTGTAAGTGATAATGAGCTGGAATGCTGGTAAGTCAGTAAGGCAGCAAGCTCATTATGGCTGGCGGTCCATTTCTTATCGTTGCGTGTGTTGAGTTCTTGACACATACTGAATTCTAGCTCCCAAACAACTGCTCAAGATCTCAAAGATGCAAATAAAATGGATCACTCTGCTCTCTTTGTATGATACGACTACCAGCCAATTACAATTTAAAATACTTCTGCACAAAATAACTTCCAGAGATGTTATGTGACAAAAAAGTGATGACCAAATAAACTTATCAGTAATATTCGATCACAAACGCAAGACAGTGGTATAAACTATTTTAACTACACCAGATAACAGGGCTTGGCAAACTGTTTCTCTAAAGAGTCCATGAGTATTTTAGGTTATGTAAGCCAAAAAGAAAATTAAGGGTATTATTTAACTACTTATATAACAAGAAAGAAAACAAATTTTCACAAATATTTTATTAACAAAATTCAAAATACAATAACTGAGTATCATTTTTTGGAATACAGATCTACTAATGAGAGGAGTGGAATTCTTTTTTGGGAGGTTAACATTTCACTTAATTAGGGTTCATAATTAGTGTTTCCTATCAAAATACATGTTAATGCTGTTCATATGGTAATGCTAATCTGTAACAAAATTTTACGTATTTCACCTTTGAGAATTTCTTGCACATACATGGATTATATGTGTGGCACTTGAAATACTGAAGAGTTGTAACTGCATCACCACGACATGTGTGTAGCGCACCTGCTGTTGTACAAAAAACAGCCCAAGAAAATTGTGGACAAATGGATGTGGCTGTGTTCCAGTAAAACTTTATTTATGAGCACTGGAATTTGAATTTCGCACAATATCCATATATCACAAAACATTATTCGTCTTTTGATTTTTTCTGCAAACATTTAAAACCATAAAAACCATTTTCAGCTCATGGTCTATTAAAAAAAAAAAAAAAAAAAAACAGGCAAAAGGCCAAATTTGGTCCATAGACCATAGTTTGCTGACCTCTGCCATATGGCACTGAAATTGACCTTTCAAGTTTCCTACCTTCTGAAAGCCAAATGGATTTATCAATGAACTTGATGTTTTGTATTTTAAGAAAAGGTTCTACTAAAATTTATTCACAAGTCAGAATTTTAAAAAATAAAACCATCAGCATGTTAAGCTATTAATTCAATCTATTAAAAAAATTTGTACTAGCTTTTTTTTTGTACTAGCTTTTTTTTTTGTACTAGCTTTTTAAAATGAGACAACACAAGGATTTAAAAATATTTAATGAACTGCATGATAGAGACCTGATTGTAAACAGTGACATTTGCATAACTTCTCAGTCTTTAATACAACTCTTCATAGGAAATATTAATTACACCAGCAATATTTTATTTCTGTTCACTGTTCACACATTTCTTTTAATTGTAAACGAGTCTAATATACAGAATACATCAAATACTATTTTTTGAGACCAAATTTAAAGCTATACATTAGCTTTTCCAACACAGAGAACTTATCACCAAGGAAGTTAATGACAGCAACATATTTATGGTACTAAATTATATCCCTGACTGCCATGCAACTGATTTTACATTATTCAGATTAGAACATCTTTTATCACTCAATTGGATCCAAAGAGTTCAACTAATTCTGACAAGCAAAATCTCACCTCTAATGAAAAGCCAAGGATCTAAGATTAGTAATGAAATCCTTCCAGACCACCAGTAAGAACTTCTCCCCTGACTGACCTGCCTTTCCCACTAGTAGAACGTGAACTCTGAAAGGCAGGGTACATGTCATTCATTCACCTAGCAGCTCTCACGGTAACTTTCAGAGTGCTTTTTCACTCTGGGTTCTGCTCAATAAATGAGTGTGGAACTGCAACGAGCTGATGGAATCATCAATCAGAAATGACAACACACAGGTTAACCATCCTACTTACGGTTCCGGTTCCACCGCGACGAGAGGCATATCTCTTCTCAGTAAAAATCGGTTCTCGGGCACTGGAGGAATCTCTTCCGGCCGGACCACTGGCTTTTCCCTTTTAGCATTTGAATCGACTGACCTTTTTTCACTGGTATCACTTCTCTCAGAGTGACTTAGAGAGAACAAATTAAGTCACCAATTAAGATGTGTAATGTTTGGATTTCATTATAATAAGAGCACACAGAATTAAGATATTGAAAAGCAAAACTACTGATGCCTTACAAGGATCACTCCAAAGGTTTATACAGTTTTCTCAAAGAGAAGATATAAAACATCAACCCAAGCAAAAATCCACAGTACTAAAATTCTGATAAGAACATTGTCGACTGAATCCTAACTTTTTAAAGAGTTTCAGAGATTTTTTTCTTCTGCAAATACATAAATCCTTGATATGAAATGTCTGTGCTATCCCCTAGATTTGCCAGATTTCAATTTAACGTAAAAAAATGCTATCCTTTTTCAACAAAAGGTAGGAAAGCTAAGTTTACAGAATTACGCTTTCCCCATTCCAGGGAGTTCATCTGTTTTTTTGGTAAGACTATCCTAGGGTTTCACACGTACCCTTTGGGGCTCACTCTGTGTTTATTCCTTGGCTCTTCTGAACTGCCTGCTTCCTTTCGTCTCTTTTTAGAATGTTTAACTTTTGGCCTCCTCTTATGTTTCCTTCTTCTGCTTCTCTCATGTTCAATTTCACTTTCTGAAGATGATTCTGAAGAGGAAGAGGAATTGGAAGAGGAATCCGAGTCTTCTGAATGAGTTGGTTTCTTCCTTTTTTTCTCAAAAACTTTTTAAGAAATATTAACAAAAATATTAGTACTGGATTTCTGTGCTTACCTTTCAGAGTGAAAAAAATGTGATTACTAAGTATCGTAAAATATGCTTTATGGATTGCAAACTAAAAACAAAAATTTAAATAAACTTTTTTCAAGGTGATAATACAATTTGCTGGTGAGACTGTGAAGTAACAAAGCCCTTGCCTTCATGAAGTCTATTTGCTGATGGACTGGATACAGGGTATGATATAGAGGTATCAGGGCTATTGCTATACCGCTTGTGAGTTTTTTTCCACTACCGACATCCAGGAGGTATCTGTAAGTTATAGTCTTCAACATGCATTACCTGTACCCTAGCTTCCTTTACCCCTAAAAAATCCTTACCATCTTTTGTTGATTTCGTGGCAAGCACCCCACAGTCAATAACTCGCACATCTGCATAAGGTCTGCTTGCGGCATCAGTTTTCAGATTTTCAATTTGTTCGATTACTTCAAAACCAGAAATAACAAGTCCAAAGACAACATGTACCCTGTCACAATACAGATTCAAGAAAAAATTGGTTTGCTGAAAATTAAGCCAAGACAAGTAATCAAGACAATTACTGTAACATGATGTGTCCATAGACCTAAAAATAAAAGCAGAGTGTTTCATGTATGAAACCACTAGAAGGGAATTAGAACTTAGTTTTCTGCCTTTAAAACAATAGTTCTTAACTATTTCATAGTAGAGTCCTGTAACAGTCAGATTGTATGTGATCCTCAGAAACCACCTTTACAGGGTCACTCAAAACTACACGGCTGAGAAGCTCATCATGGGCCCCAGTAAAGACCCCTTCAGTGACATGAGAGCCATGGGGTCTCAAGTACCCTGTGATCCTTAAGGAATAATGTGGCTGTGAGATATTAACTCAGAGACCAAGAGCGCCCCCTTGAGAATTTGCTCAGGGTCCAATCTGTTTTGGACTGGCCACCCAAATACCTCCCCAAGGTAATAACATAACTCTTACCCATCCAGGTGCGGAGCAGGTTTTGTGGTGCTGTGTAATAAACATCAACGCAAAGAGGATGGCAAAGCCCAGGTGTTCGGGTGAACAGAGCAGAAGGGTTTAAAGCACAGCATGTGGAGAACAAAGTGGTGAAGATAAAAAAGAGAGGGGAAAAAGTTAAACATGATATACATCTATACTTAAGAACCTTAAAAACAATACTAACCGATTTACTGATTAAAACTCTAAAGATTATAAAGAATTAAAAAATTTTGTCTATTTCTCCAATATGAAAACTATTTATATGTATACATATGCAATAGGTTTGATATATATAGCACAGATATTAAAATTCAAGTTACTCTCAAATCCAAAACAATAAAAACAAACTTAAAATTTATCAAGATAAAAAAAGTACCTATCCTCTGCCCTATGGAAAGAAAAGTGTATGACCAACACTTGCTCCACACACTTAAATGAGTTCTCTTTGTAGATTTGCTGCTGAAGTGAGTGTGAGTTCTTTTACTGTTTCTCATATTGAGTCAGTCTGTATCTTTTAGGCAGGGGGATTGGGAGGGATGCCTCAGGATTTCTATCTCTAGAACTTCCTGCTCTCTTCCTTCACCTAAGGTGAAACTCTGCCACTCACAGCAACTCTGAAGATGCAATAGGGAGCAACCCTTCTTTCAAATTTCAGCTGGCCCGGCTCCCGACGGCAAATTAAGTAATGATGGATAACATTATAGACATTTTAAATTTCCATGGCCCAGAAAACACCCAACCAGCTTCTTCCATGGTCACAAACTGGCAGATAGTCACTCTCGGGAAGCCTATGGGGTACATGTAATTTAAGGTATTTTGAACTCAAGCTAGTTTTCCCAGAGAATTTTCAAAGATCTTCATACTTGTGAAATGCAGTTAAAAAATATCAAAAGCAGGTATAACTAGACTCAGAAGGATACATCACAAGCATTTTAGTTTATAAGAATGAGAAATAGATATTTGAGAGAAAGGTCACTGGATATCAGGCCATGTTAAAGCAGTCAATTGTACCAGAAGTTCCCATATCAATTTTTATATTCATTCTAAGGTAATTCTAAGACATGTAAGTCAATAAAATACAACTTAACCTTCACGATAATACTAAAAATCATTATTCTACAAAGAATTGTAACACTTACACTTACATTAATAAAATTCAGTCCTGGGAGACCACTACATAATTTAATTTAAAAATTAAAATGTCAACTTAAGAAGTTACAGAATTTTAAAGGGAATCTTGAGTTTTAAAAGCACTAGTCTCAAATGATCCTTAGAAAATTGAGAAGTGGTAATTCAAGTAATGTAAAAGTAAAAATAAATAAAAACAGGCAGAAAAAAGAAAATCTAGCAAACTGGTGAGGCACTAATGCTTAAATCATTAAACTAGCATCCAGAAACTACCTTGGACAATAACTTTAAGATAGAAATGTGTTTCCCACAATTATAAAACTTAATCAAAGCACACTAAAGATGGGAAGAAATCAGTCCATATGCTGGGCAGTGATTCCATTGCATGAAAGATGTGAAGAGGTAAAAAATGTAAAGGTGAAAATGTTCTACCATGTAAGGCATCAGTCTCAAATATGTAGCAGCGAAAACGAGATAGTTTATTGGTTAGATTTATTCCTCCTCCTTCCTTGATCCTCTTGCTCACAACCCTCAATCTTCTGGTACTGGGGGAAGGTCTACAGATTTTTCTAAAACACACAGAGCCCAATTCGATTTGCCACTTCGGCTAATAGGAGTGCTGTAAAAACCACCTTATAGCAAACCTTGGAGCAAATGGTAAGATTAAAACATTCTAGCTAACTGCAGTGATGTAGGAATATACTACCTGAGACTCAATTTGAGGATAGAAGAGCTAAATGTATGACACATTCATGTTTTGTTTTTTAATTCAAATGAAAACTGAAGACAAATGAACTTGGTCCTTTTCTGCAATAGTGAAGAAGGCAGCAACAATTCTTTGAAGGACAAATTTCAGCTGGCCCACTGTACCTAGACTGGTATAAATAATTAAATCCATTATTCACATCTGCAATTCAGGATGCAGAAGTACAAATTTTACCTTAACTGGGTTTGACAACATAATAAGAATACTGAAGGGATCTTATCTTAAAAAAAAAGAAGCCTTCTGGGGTTCCAGCCTACGTTCCAGGAGCTGAAATCCCAACACATAAAACAAGTTTACTGACTGACATTGGGCTGACCCTAGACGTGGATAAACAGAGGGTATGTTCAATCCGAGCTGTTCAATTCTACTAAAAGGAACAGAGAGACTTCATCCCAACACTCTTAACTGTACTGGTCTTTCAAAACTATACAGTTGTACAGATCCATGCAGTGGTGACATATGCTCAGTAAGTTAAGACCTTAAGGCCAGAGACCATTGTAAATAAGTTCATGCTTAAGAAAAAACACCTAAAGGAGAAACAACCACAAAGAACATTTCAAATTATAAAAGCTTTCAATATTTTCACATTTCCATCTTCTCCTGTCACTTAGGCAATGATTTTCCAGGTTCCCCCGACCCCTGAATCTACTTTAAAAATATATGCGCAAGAGTTCATTTAAACCTTGTGAATCCTAATGTCACTGTTACTCCAAAAAACAATGTACATTTTTACACCATTATCAAAGAAGCTATTGGCCTTATACAGAATTAATGGCTCTGTACTAAAATGAGATCTAAAACCTTTATATACAACAAAACTCCCACCCCAAAGATGTATGGAAACCTGGTAGAAACAAGCCACTGAAATTAAAACAGACTTCCCAGGATTAATTGTGAACAATAAAACACAGTTGTTTTACACATATTGCTGCCATACAGATCAAGCAGAGTTTTTTCTTAAAATTGTTCAATGAACATATAACAATAGGATTAAAGAGATAAAGGCAAAGAAAGAAAAAGAGCCTTAGAGTAATGAGACATTACCTTTGGATCGCAC